GATACAAACCCAATCAACTTGACTTTATACAATTACAAATAAATTGTTTATGAATTAAATAAATTTTAACACGACATAATTATTCAATAAAAAATGATACATANAGTATTTTTTTTTTTTTGGTAAAAGGGGTAATCTTTGGCATGTCCCGGACGAGTACATGTGTGTTTATGTCGCTTAGACTCTTGAGTTCAAATAAAACCAAGGACAAATTTTAGATGTATGAATCGGTCTCTCAATTCATATACTAATAAATTAAATTAGGATTTACATTTCGATGAGGATTCGAATCCACAACAGAGAGTTGTATACGATTCCTCCAAACAACTGAAATGAAATAAAGATTTGATTTTGTGAATTTATTCATCCAGCTGTGAACTGTTAACTTTCATGTTGGATATTGTGTTGAATTAAAATGTTATGGCAGCCAATTGACTTTTAGACTTGGAGCAATGGTTGACAGGTTCAGATACGATTGTCAATTTGTTAATTTTCTATCAATTTTTTTTTTTGTTTATTCTAAAAAAAATCATTTCGGCACAATTAAAAAATGATTGTATCTTAATCAGATGAGCTTTGTCTCCAAATCTGTACTCAATCGCAAGTTAACTGCAACACATGCCCAATGAATATGTTGGCATAAATGTTATTATACACGATACAAACCCAATCAACTTGACTTTATACAATTACAAATAAATTGTTTATGAATTAAATAAATTTTAACACGACATAATTATTCAATAAAAAATGATACATAATCGTGATAGAAGAAGATTCAAAAAAATTAAAAAGGAATAACCTAATCAATCTCCTATAACCACATATCAAAGTTATTTGTCTACCACTTGCTGTCATGGTGGCAAGTGTTGACTTTAACTTGCAATGAGAACTACAAATTTGTCAAAGGATTAAATGTGGTTACGTTTATTAGTGGTCTTCACAAGCAAAGAAAAGTATAAAGCACCCCATTTCTTCTTTATACAAGCATCTCTGAAGGGATGTAGCAAACTTTGAATTAAATTCTTATTATAGATAGTACACATTGATGAAAATGTTTGAATGATCTAATCTTTCTTCTCTCTCACGTACACACTTTGGACAAAATGTGTAACCAATGCCTTTGGATTCATAGGAAATTTAATAGGTTTTATTTGGTTGTTGTATTAGGCAAAGTTTATGTTGAAACTACAATGCGAAGATTCATTGACGGGCGAATATAATCGAATATAAAAATTTATTCGCCTATTAACCCTACAAAACGAAATTTGAATCAATCGGCTTGATGGATCTCACGAACTTTTACTGTATGTCATTTTACACCAAAATTTGAATGCAGTGTGAGTTGTAATCATTCGAATTTTCTCTATTGCTCTCTCTTTAGCTCTTCTAAACATGATGTAAAGTATATGGTTGAGAGAATCATAGAATATGTGTATTTATATGCTACAGTAGAGACCTTAAAGATAAATAAGGGTCGGACTTCCAATGAGTTTAACAATCCTATATTAAATTCAGGACAAATATCTTATGATCCATTATAATAAGTTAGTCTACTAAAAACTTATTATTGATCTTTCGAGTCTTATCTCAAAATTATATTTTGAGCTTCTTGTTTTATATGCTTAATAATCTCTCAATATTTAAGATTATAGATGTCCGTCAATTAATTAAATTACTGACAATTATATTGACTTCTTTTTTATTACTGAGATCTTACCACTTAACTTATTTATAATATTGGATAATTAAATCTATTTGCAGGGTTTGTGGACAAAACTTATGAATTTATTTAAGAAGACGTCATCAACCAATTTAAATGTTGGGAAATGAATTTCTTTAATAATTAATTTCCACCAAACAAATAATGGCATCCCTTAATTTATCGAGTTTATAGATTCAAATATGAATCTCACTTTTTGATAAATTAAAGTTACAATTATTATATACAAATGTCCATGAAATATCTCAGGTTTAAGAGTTTTAAGCAACCACTTTTTGTATATTGAACGGTTTTGTTTAATATACAAAGTGTAATAGTGTAACAATCCGAATCTGCAGATAGTTTCCTATAGCCAAGACAAACTATGTTAGAAGATCATTTTCTATATAGATTATAAACTTTTACTCATATCATATACAGATCAAATTAGTCTTCCGTATATAAGTCAAACTCTATACATTAGATTATCTACAACATAAAATAAAATACACATGTGCATCTATATAATAAAATACAACATAAAAAATAATTTTTACTTTTCACAGTTAAAATCATTCTAAGTTTTACTTTCAAGTTAACTGGAAGGTTAATATTAACTCTCAAAATTTAATAGGAAAAATACCCTTAAAAGTGTGTTTGTAGTAACTTTTGAAAAATGCTTCTATGACTTACGACTTCTCATAAGCACTTTAAAAAAAAAAGTAGTGTATGTAACAACTTATTTTAATTGCTTCTAAATAAGTCAAAAGTAATTTTACCATTTAAAATAAATAAATAAAAAGTAAAAAAAAATTAACTTCTACTTTTTTAAAATTATTTCTTTACAAAATACTTTACCACCATCGCTAACACCCCCATCGTCCCAGAAGCACCATTGGTGCAGCCACCCCCACCCACCACCATTGCTGCCGTCGTCATCTACCACCGATTTTTACCATCGTTATCGCCATTATCATCTCATTTTTATAATTATTACCACAACCACCATCAGTGATCTTATCACCACTGTCACACACCACCACTTCGCACCACCACCATTGTTGTCCATCACCACCCACCGTCACCCACTACTTAAACCTACCACCACCCATTGTCGTTAACCGCCACCGTCACCCACCCCCACCTATTACCACCACTATTTGTCCTCGCCCACCACCCATATGAGTAAATTTCATTTTGCCTCCGAAAGATACAAAAGAATTCAATTTATTCCTTGAATGGTTAAATTTTTTACATTTTCCTTTCAAATAAATCAAAACATTATAATGTGTCTATCGTTTAATTTTCGTTTGATCGTTCGTCTATTTTGTTTTGTAATTATTGATTAGTTTTTTTTGACACAAAATAAATATTGACCCAATACTATAGGATCTAATAGGAGATCAAGAATCTAATTTAATATAATTATTGAATTAATTGTGAGTTAAGATGTTAGATGAAATTCCCTTTTAATTAGGTCTAATAATTGTTTTTCTAAATGAATTTAAAAAAATTATTCAAATTCAGCTCCTTGCTAAGCTTGAGTCCAAAAAGAGCCAAACCCAAACCGAACCCGATTATTGTATATACAAATGAGTTGAGTTTTTTAAAGTCATTTTATTCAAAAGAAATAAGCTTAAAAAATTATTCAAACTCGACTATTTAAAAAAATGAGCCGAGCTCGAGTCAAATTTTATGCAACTCAAAGTTGAACTGAGTCAGAATAACTTAGCTCGATTATCAACCTATTACCTTAATTAAGTGACTATATGGAATTAAACCCTATTTATGCATCGGCCTTTTCGCGCGCTTTATTATTCGTAATTACAGACTTTCCAGCTTCCAGCTTCCCGAGAGAGAGAGAGAGAGAGAGAGAGATATGAGTGATCAAGAACCACTAACAGAGCTTCAAGAGAACGAAGAACGCGGTGGTTTGGAGTCCAGCACNAAATGTTAGATGAAATTCCCTTTTAATTAGGTCTAATAATCATTTTTCTAAATGAGTTTAAAAAAATTATTCAAATTCAGCTCCTTGCTAAGCTTGAGTCCAAAAAGAGCCAAACTCAAACCGAACCCGATTATTTTATATACAAATGAGTTGAGTTTTTTAAAGTCATTTTATTCAAAAGAAATAAACTTAAAAAATTATTCAAACTCGACTATTTAAAAAAATGAGCCGAGCTCGAGTCAANTTGAGTTTTTTAAAGTCATTTTATTCAAAAGAAATAAACTTAAAAAATTATTCAAACTCGACTATTTAAAAAAATGAGCCGAGCTCGAGTCAAATTTTATGCAACTCAAAGTTGAACTGAGTCAGAGTAACTTAGCTCGATTATCAACCTATTACCTTAATTAAGTGACTATATGGAATTAAACCCTATTTATGCATCGGCCTTTTCGCGCGCTTTATTATTCGTAATTACAGACTTTCCAGCTTCCAGCTTCCCGAGAGAGAGAGAGAGAGAGAGAGAGAGAGAGAGAGAGAGANCCCTATTTATGCATCGGCCTTTTCGCGCGCTTTATTATTCGTAATTACAGACTTTCCAGCTTCCAGCTTCCCGAGAGAGAGAGAGAGAGAGAGAGAGAGAGAGAGAGAGAGAGATATGAGTGATCAAGAACCACTAACAGAGCTTCAAGAGAACGAAGAACGCGGTGGTTTGGAGTCCAGCACGATTAACCACCTCACCATGCTCCAACTCAACGCCACCACAAGTCCCACCGACAACTACCACCCAACCACCACCGAACTAGCTGTCCCCGCACATCAGCACTGCACAATTTCAGGTAATGGTTCCATGAAGAGACGATCAACCTCATCATTGTCTTTTCAAGAACCTACCTCCAAGAAACCNAGATGTTAGATGAAATTCCCTTTTAATTAGGTCTAATAATTGTTTTTCTAAATGAATTTAAAAAAATTATTCAAATTCAGCTCCTTGCTAAGCTTGAGTCCAAAAAGAGCCAAACCCAAACCGAACCCGATTATTGTATATACAAATGAGTTGAGTTTTTTAAAGTCATTTTATTCAAAAGAAATAAGCTTAAAAAATTATTCAAACTCGACTATTTAAAAAAATGAGCCGAGCTCGAGTCAAATTTTATGCAACTCAAAGTTGAACTGAGTCAGAATAACTTAGCTCGATTATCAACCTATTACCTTAATTAAGTGACTATATGGAATTAAACCCTATTTATGCATCGGCCTTTTCGCGCGCTTTATTATTCGTAATTACAGACTTTCCAGCTTCCAGCTTCCCGAGAGAGAGAGAGAGAGAGAGAGAGAGAGAGAGAGAGAGATATGAGTGATCAAGAACCACTAACAGAGCTTCAAGAGAACGAAGAACGCGGTGGTTTGGAGTCCAGCACGATTAACCACCTCACCATGCTCCAACTCAACGCCACCACAAGTCCCACCGACAACTACCACCCCACCACCACAGAACTAGCTGTCCCCGCACATCAGCACTGCACAATTTCAGGTAATGGTTCTATGAAGAGACGATCAACCTCATCATTGTCTTTTCAAGAACCTACCTCCAAGAAACCCACCCTCCAGCCCTCCTGCACCACCACCACCGATCACCACGGCCTCCACGGATTCACCAAGCTTCCACTACCCATCACGACTCCTCTTCTCCGGCGCTGTGTCTCAGACCCAATAAACTCTACGGGAACCGACAATGCCGGTTCTTCCGCTGCCTCGGTTCAATTCTTGAACCTTCAGTCGCCGGAAAATCACAACATCTCTGTTCCGGCAGCATCCCCATCTCCGGCTAATCCGTCTCAAAGTTTTCGCCGGCCGGTGTCTTATCCAACTTCATCGGCGTACCAGGTGACCACCAACACACCGCCACGGGTTTCGCTGGCAAGAACATTTTCTAGGTCGCCAAGTTCTGGAGAGATTGGTCCGCATTCTGTTGAGAAAGAGAGTCCCAATTCTAAGGTTGGTTCTTGGTGAATTTATTCTTCAATTCTTTGATTGAAAGGCCATTGATTTATTTGGGTAATTGATTGCAGAGATTGAAGAAAATGAAGGAAAAGATGAGAGAAATGAGGCAATGGTGGGACCAAATCATGCATGAAGGCGAAGACGATGACTACGGCTCTGAAATTAACAATAGAAACACTCTCAAGGTCTCAACTCTATCCATCTATTGTTCTAATTCTGCACGATGTGCGTTGTAGTCGTTGGATTGTTGATTCAGCACGTTTCAATTTCTTGTTAATCAACTGGCTGATTAATGTCGAATTTTGGATTATTCTGATTCTGATTCTACAATTGAGCAATATTCGAGTAATTGTAGACTCAATTGGATTCAATTTCTTGTTCACTAAGTTGGAATGTGTAGTTGTGTATGTATATTATCAAAATTTCTATGATAAATGAGTACTGTTACAGTTTTTTGCTTCGATTTTCTATTCAAGTGGGTAGCTTTTAACTTTAAGTGACTCTTTGTTCTAATTCGAATGATGTGCATTGTATTGATTGGATTCTTGATTCAGTTGGTTTTGATTTCTGGTCAATTAAGTGGTTGATTAACATGGTGTTTTTGATATATGGGTGTGTTGGTTTTGGTCATTCTGGTTCTGATTCTACATTTCAACATTATTCAATTAATTGTGGCTTCAGTTGGATTTTATTTCGGTTAATAAGTGGGGTTTTTTGTTAAATTTTCGATGGTAAAGTAGGTACTGATGATTTTGTTTTTCTATGGTTTTTATATGGTTCTTGATTATTGGTGTGGTTTTGATTATGACAGCTATGACATTTCTACTTTTAAGTAGAAATGTTGTAGTTTGTCTATGATCAAAAAAAAAAAAAAACAAATTATTGGTGTGGTTGTTTGTAATTGCTTTCTTACTACCTAAGTGATTCTTTGTTGCTACAGGATGACAGTGAGACTGAAACTGAAAAATGTTGGTCATTCTGTGATTATATAGTACTTTAATGTTCTAGTAGTTTAAAAACATTTAAGTTATTCTTAATCTTAATTAATTTCGATACTAAGGTGGGTTTCCGTTTTCTGATTCTACATTTGGGTAGGTATGTGGCGTTTATCATTTTTCCTGCGAATTTTGATTGATCTTGATTATTGATTTGGTTGGTCTTAAATTAATTAGTTTCTTGTTATCTGAGTGATTCTTTGTTGTTGCAGGACAACTGTGAGACTGAATCTGTGGAGGCAATTCAGGAATCTGTGTGGGTGGAGAGGAATGGGGAGTGCAAAACAATTCACTTCAAGTGTCCCTGTGGTGAAGGCTATGAGGTCCTTTTCTCTAGAAACGAATGTTTCTACAGATTGATCTAATTTGAGCAGGTAACTTGATCATTTTATTGATACCCAGTTCACTTTTAGTTGTTATCGTTCTTAAGTTTCATTTTCTTTACACAATGATAGAACTAGGTGATACCAATTTAGATACAGTAATCATTATAATCAGATTGTTGGTTTCAATATTGTTAAGATGATATTCAAGATTTAGATTGTTTCAATTCTGATTTGGATTTGTAATCGGTTTCGATACAGATACAGTGCTGATCATTGTTGTTGCTTTCAAGTTTCTTAGAAAGATTTACTGGATGAAACCAATTATACTTGAAATTTTAGGATTTAGATTTACAGAACTTTTTGTCCAGATTAACACTAAAAATCAGATTCTGTTGCATCTTACCGACAGGGTAAGCCATTTGTTTGTAAAATCTATGCATTTCATGAATAAAAGATCGGATAAAGAGTGCTTGCTTTTATAGTCTACCCTCTTTTAGAATGTAGACAGTGAATGAATGCAGTTTCTCTGTTTTTAATGTCTGTATTAAAGCTTTTGAGTCATGAGCAGTTCTTGTGATGATTGTGTGTTTACTTATCAAATTCTTTTCTCAACCATCACAATTTGTGTCCTTTTTTGAAGTCTTCATTTTATTTAAAAGAAAAATTTCTGTATTCAGTGCACAAAACTCTCGCTTACAGAGGGATCCAAAAACCGTAAATGATAGTGCCAACATAACCCTCAACATAACATTTATGTGATTGACCTCTTGCAAAATAACAAATTTCTGAGGCTTTATTGCTTCAAAAGATATCTGGTTATACATCTGATAGCAAAGGTCAGATTGCGTTTGTCTTTTGTACATTGGTTGTACCTTAGGTCAGACTCCAGTTTACATCATACCAGACTGCAACCAAGAGTTGACGCTCCTGAACTAAATTGAGAATTTATGCCCCACCCCTTCCTTTTTTATCCTTAGTTTCTTGCTGAAGATTTTCATCTGTTTCCCTGTTTGCTGAGAACCTGAAAATTATCAGTAGACGACTCCTTGAGTCATTGTTAGGATTGAATCATTATTCAAAGTGAAGAGTGTTAGAGCATCCAACTTAATATTAATTGGCAATGGCTAGAGTGGCCCCTCAACTATATGAACTAACTTTCAGTTTACTTTATTTTTCAATGTGGTATAGCTCTCTTGCACAACCAGGATTCACATGTGAGCTAAACCGAAACAGCAAGATAAACAGTTCAGGGAATTCAACTAAGTGAGAGATTTAGCCTACAAACCATCTAAGGTTCTTAATTTCCGATATGGGATACAAGTAATCTTGTTTGAAGAGAACGCTTTAAAGAACCCAAGCACATTACTACCTTTCCATGGCATTAATCTTAAAATGTAAGGGGAAAAATGCCTGGTTATCTGGTGCCATGACTGCTGTAACCTGAATGATTGTGCCTCAACCTTCAACTTTCTAACCTTATATAACTTCAACAGAAAACATTGGCAGTTAAATCGAGTTGTGCCAGCTTGAGGTGCTTGATGAAATCATTCAAATTCGGAAATTTTGGGTCCACCCTGTATTCATATATCATTATCTCCAGTTTTATTCTGCCCCTGCCTACTGGGTTCTCTAAGAATTTCGTCATCAAATACCATTTTGAACTTGGCTAAATCCAAGAGAAAATGGAAAATGATTCTAGCACAGAGGTTTTTTTTTTTTTTTGGGGGGAGGTGGGGGTGTTCGAGTCTGTATAGCGGCATTGTACCCAATCAATGTTTTGGGTCCATATAGAGACTACTGTATTCAATTTTGTCCTAGGTTATAAACCTAAGCAAGAATGAACAACTCCACTCCATCACATACTTAAACCTGTTGCCCAATTTTCGCAACTGAGTTCAATTGTACATGAAAAATATCAATCCAAAAATGATCTCCCATGCGAATGTGACCTCTTCGAAAGAGAATGAGCTTGAACCACTATGTCATGAACATCTATCTCCTGTGTTATGAACAAGACTAGAGACAGACAGTATAATGAAAAAGAAAACACAAAACACATGAGATTACGTTGTTTGAATGGAATACCTACCTCTTCAAGCAAACCCCAAGGACAAGACATCACAACATGAGTGGACACAAGACATCACGACATTATGTTTTTCACAAACAAAATGTCCACAAATAGTGAGGTGAAGGACAGGAAGGTAGTTGGCAATCTTACACCTAGTATGAAGAGGTTAATTCCCAAGCTCATGTTTTCCACAAACACTTGGGTTCTTAGAGTCTTAGAATTTAAAAAGAAAAATGAAAAATCACTCGCAAGAACAGTATATTTAGTGATAAAACATATTTAACTAATATGTCCTAATTGTTTTGAAAATATATGGGCGAGCTTATACATATTGAGAATATTCATACTTTCATAGTTGATGCTTGTATGATAAAAAGGTTTTTTAAAATCCTAGGGGACGAGACAAAAACAATCGGGAGTGAACTGCTTCGAGTTATGAACTTGAAGGGAATGTTAGAGAGCCAATTTGAGTTATATTGACATCAAATTACGTGGTGGCATATTTGTTATAGCTTACAGATAAGGCTGTCTGTTCTCTTCCTTTATTTTTGGCGATTTGGGACTCTTGTCGTTGAAAATTTGCAAAGTATTTGTTTGGTCATTTCACATGTTTGTGTGAAGCAGATCATCTTTTTACTAGAGAGCATAATCAAATACAACTGCTTGGTGCTTATTTTTTCTAACTTTTTCTGATTGTTTNTTGGCGATTTGGGACTCTTGTCGTTGAAAATGTGCAAAGTATTTGTTTGGTCATTTCACATGTTTGTGTGAAGCAGATCATCTTTTTACTAGAGGGCATAATCAAATACAACTGCTTGGTGCTTATTTTTTCTAACTTTTTCTGATTGTTTTTGTACATTTCCTTTTTTTCTTTTTTGTTACCAGGACTCTCTGTATTTTCCCAAGCTTAATCGCATATATAGTCGTATACAAATACTCATATATGTTTGAAGTTTTGATAGATCGCTTTTATTGTATAGTGCTTCAAAATGTTTATGTTCCAATATCTAAATTTTTTCCCATTAAAAAAGTAAGTTAAGAAAAGAGTAGCTAAACTATAGCAAACTTGGCTCTAGTACAAGTACACTATGTAGAAGAAATTTGTAGTTAACAGCATGACTAATTACTAAAATTGGCTGCTTAACCNAACTAAACTATAGCAAACTTGGCTCTAATACAAGTAGAAGAAATTTGTAGTTAACAGCATGACTAATTACTAAAATTGGCTGCTTAACCTTCCTTAGGTCCAACACTACTTATACATACCCCTTACGAACTACAAATTCTCATAATTCAGGACAATTATAGTCATTTCCTGCCTGAGAACCTTTTGGTTCCAGCAAAAACTTGAACAAAAGCAGTAAGAATATAAAAGATCAACTTAGAATCAGTAGAATGGAGTGGCTATAGGATGCAGATTCACTCTGTTTGTTGCGTTCGCCATGGTCAAATTGCCATGGAAGTCATCTAAGTTCCACAGGCCATCCCATATAATGTCCTCAGTCGAGACCTCGGGAATCGATGCATATCCTGTGAACATGGAGGGGAAGAAGCCTTGTTCCTCGGATGTGTTGGGATATAAGGAGGCCATGTCTTGCCTCATTTGAGGTAGAGTTGGTACTGATCTATTGTCACTTTCATCTAGTAATGACATGATTTTTTTCATGTCAACTTGATTTTGCTGTTGCTGTTGCTGCTGGAATTGCTGCCTTCTCAGAAGGCGAGCTTTTGACTTCTCGCAGTTGTCCAAAGAGGCTTTTTCCTTTTTCTTAAAATGGGTCCTCCAGTAGTTCTTGATATCATTGTCTGTTCTTCCTGGCAGGCTTCTTGCAATTGTCGACCACCTGAATATTGAAAATAGTTAATTTATGTAGTGTTTAGTAACGTTTTGTTTTGTATTTATTTGGTTTCACAGTTTGGATATTTCTTTATTTTGAATATTTGTCCTTTTTCTTTAAAAAAAAAAAACTTTTGGTAATGATTCTAAAATACACTTGGTTCACAAATCTGTTTTTTCTCCTTTAAGGAGTACTAATCTTTCGAACTNTAAAAAAAAAAAAAACTTTTGGTAATGATTCTAAAACACACTTGGTTCACAAATCTGTTTTTTCTCCTTTAAGGAGTACTAATCTTTCGAACTACCACCACCCTATCATCGCCAACACCATCCTAACCTGGCCGCCACCACCACCTATACCACAGTACCAAATAGGCCCTTGTGATCAAGAAAGTTAAAGTGATTACCTGTTTCCCCACCTTGCATGGAGCTCTACAATTATGTTTTCTTCATGAGGAGTGATTTGGCCCCTCTTGAGATCTGGCCTCAAGTAATTCACCCACCTCAACCTGCAACTCTTCCCATTCCTTTTCAACCCTGCACATGCACATACAAGGAGAAACACTCAATATCAAGAAATTAGATTTTTTAGAGAGCATACTCTAAACTAAGTCGTGATGAAGCCTAATGCAACTATTTGAGGTCGTGTGCACAAATTTTTTTCCGCGCTCCATCTTGGGCCATAATTATGTCACTTGGGTGAAACAATATGAAAGTATGGTGGTCACATATTAGTGGACAAAATGTTTATCGGGATAGTTAAGTACCTGCAAGCTTAGACACAGAGTTCCACCTTCCTTCACCATGCAACTTGACATACTCAATGAGCAACCTATCTTCTTCAGCAGTCCAAGGGCCCTTCCTCCACCCTTCTTCAATGACTCCCCACCCCAAATGTTCTGCCATCACTCCCCAAGACATAAAAGCAAAAGCTGTATATTTCTACTTTGTTGTAAGCTTGTCCTCAATATTCTGTGACATGAGGTGTTAGTGCTTGTTACGTATTTATATTAGCACAAAAGCCATACTTCATTCCATCTGTCTATTCAATGTCCTTTTCAAATCAACACTCTCCTTTCTTCACACGGGGCTAAAGATGATCCGGTAAGTTACCAAAATGGTCTTGTCCATTTCTTGATCAGACTAGCATTACAAGGGTAAGTGTAGATGCAACAGTAACATTGTTTCATCATAATGTAGACATCTGGTTCTTGAGTCACAATAATTTCTTCGTGTCTAGGGTTATATTGCATAAATCTAATGCTCTCCATGTTCTAAAATGACGACAATCTTGTGTAATGGGTTGTCGTGTGAGTCTTGCGGTGTTAAGTGGCCTATTAAGATGTGAGGATGGTCATGCCAATAAATGTACATAGGAGGGGCATTTGAAGAACACAAGAGATTGCCAAGGCATTGGGTAACATGTTCTCATGAGAATCAATCCATTAGAGTATAATTGTTGATTTGAAAGTTATCCCAAAGAGGAACAAGATCGCATAGACAAAGGCCACGTATAACCTAGGCTTATGCATCTAGACACCAACTCTTGATCCCCTAAAGCATTTGTATTATTGTTATCAATAAAATACAAGTGGGTGGCAATCTTTTTGCTTTGAAAACCACTACCAGTCCAATGGTTTCCTACCAAGTGTCCGATAATTTGCTTACTTAAAGGTGATAGATGAAGGGTAATCACCATCTTGTACTAATTAATTAGAATTTGTTGGATGCCTTATTTGGTTTTAATACGTCAGTAGGGAACAGGTGGTGCTTCTGCAATAATTTTTTATTTTGGAATAATAAGGTGCTTTGCTGACTCCTTTTTTTTTTTTTT